CGCACACGGCGAGTCGGCCCGCTATATTTGACAGACGTCGCAACTGTCACTGGGGCATACGCTTTGCGTTTGGTCCAGGGCAGTCAGTTCAACAAGAAGATAACACAGACAAATGCAAATCATTTGCTCCAATGACACTTGGTGGTACTGTAATGTCATCTCAAGACCTCAGTGCGAAGCGCCGCGCGCGAAGTGGGCGGGGTGACCTACTTTCGACGGACACGCGCAACGAACGTTCTCCAAGCGAATGCTGTACCTCTGAAGTACCTAAGAGGGATCATCCATCTGGAAACGTAGATGTTGTCATGCCTCTGATTCCAGTCGTGTTTAAGTAAAAATAAACAACGAGAGGATGTCCGCAAGAAGTTATATTAAAGGGGTTAGGGCCCACTTTTTCCAGACTGATCACTCACAATTAAGCCAAATAATATGGCAATTACAAGCTTCGTGTCCCTGAAGCGAGGACTATTCTCTGGATCACTCTGGCTCGTGGCAGGGACGAATGAAGACGTTACTGGCGCCCGCTCGAGGAAATCGATGTTCGACGGGACGACAGGTGATACAGGCCAATATGGCAAATATGTCACGGCTTGGGTAACAATTGGTTATTTCACAGTGGTCGCCTAGTGAATAAGATGAATTGTGTTAGAGCCTCGATGTAAGTTGTACTCGACATGGGACACACTATATCTAAACGTTTATTCCAAATACATATCTTTTGATAGATGTAACAAGTGGAACCTCTTAAACACTACGACATGTACTACGATACTTCAAGTACTGAAATCAGTCATAGAAGAACACATTCGAATGAAAACATATCTAATTCGGTTTCCAAAAGTAGGACATAATGGAATAAACATCGAAGGCACCCAATTGAGCACATCTAACAAAACCATCCTATAAATACTCGTAATAAATAATAAAATCAAGCAAAACAGCATTCATGGTTGACCCTAACATGTTGCGAGGAGAGGCGATCGTTTCTTTTACTGCAGTCGAATCGTGACAGATTTTTTGTTTTGATTGACAAATTGAGTCATCTTCGGCGTTTCTCCCTGTAAAGTAGTGAGCTGCACTAATATTCATGCCACCAAATAGTGTAAAAGTTTGACAAAAGTTACTCATAAAAGGACCATACCAACCAAACTAGGAACATTGTGAATTGCTTCAAATATAGCTAAATAAATAAAGAAATGAGCAAATATCCATTCCGCTGCTTTTAGCAGCACTTTGAACACATTCGGTACAGTATAAAAAGATGAGAGAAAGTACAAAAAAATAGTGAAAGTACTTACATTATTGACATACTTATTTCACATGCGTTCTCCATGCGATTTTTCAATGGTGACTTCTGTATGGCAGATTTGATTAGTGAACGTAAACTCTGAAGGAGTTGATAATCCATTTTTCTTCCACCGGATTAGATCGTGATAACAATGACACCTACCTTGCTCGTGACGACGGTGGAAGTGACTATTCGGGTACAAGTTGATTCTGGTGCACTGCCAGCTCCCCCCAATACAGAAAAAAATATGAGCCCGCGTAAAGATAAAGGAGACTTTGTTTTCTCCTCATTCTCTGATGTTGCTCGGACCATCAGAAGCGGTGTCGTCCCCTTTATCTCTACGCGGGCTCCTATCATTTTCTGTATTGGGAGGAGCTGGTAGTTCACGAAATTCCGAACAGGAACCACGTCTTCGCTCTGGCGAGACTGGACAACCCTGCGCTGCTCTTGTAGGCTCCCGCGCAGTTGTAAGGGTTTCTGGTGCCGTTGAAGTACTGTCATGTCCACTTTCGTTTCTTTCAACTGCAGTCTTGAGCTGCTCTTCTTTGGCCTTTTTCACATTGCCCTCCATCTGAAATTTCGAGTAGAGTAGTCCTCCTCATTTGACAAAAAAAAACAACGAAAGAATAGGGTATACAGGGTGGCTGAAAAGTATAGGACGCGCCGTTTGACGCTTGCTGGCACACTGCCAATGGGTATTTTCAGAATCTTGTTGGACTTTTAGAAAGCTTGGGTTCTGTACAAAATCCATATAAGTCATTTGATTGACCGTTCGCCCGAACAGTCGCTACAAATGTTTCTGCGCATTGACCCACTATTGAGAAGCTGCTCA